CAGGTATAATAAATTGTTCTATCTTTAGTCAACCGGCACTCTGTATTTTTATCATTTTGAAAAATGAAAAAAAGTTTAGCAAAATTGTTTGTTGAATTGAATATTCTGACGTTACTTAAATAAATGTCGTGTAAGGTTTATATAACTTGAGGGCGTGGAGGTACTTTTATCGTGGTATTATATTGGATCAGAGAAAATTTTTCACATAAGAAATGGTAAGTTGTTCTACCTTCAGAAAACCGGCATTCTGAATTTTTCTTAACTATAAATATTTGACATATTATTGTGTCCCCGTGAATGCTCAATTACTTTAATTACCTTGAAAATTGTATAGCAACTCGTTAATGTATGACACGATCTTGCTTAGGGTTAGATTTGTTGATGTTGTTTAAATAAATATGACATTGGTATTTTAATACAACTTTCATCGTGTCATTATATCGGTGAATATTTTAAATAAGAAATATTAATTCATTTATAATCTTAAATATCTGGCTTTCCCGCTGTCCTAATATAGTTTTAAAAATAATTGAATAATTGTGTATCATCTCGTTAATGGATAAACGTTCCTGTTGAGAATAAGATTTATTAGTGTAATAGAATGGATTTCGCATTAGTAGGTTCATACAACATGGGGAGGTAGAAAACCTCACATTGTGTCATTATATTACATCTGTGAATATCGTAAAGGGGGGGAGTAAACTGTTGAACCATTAAAAAATCGGCACTCCATAGTTTTGAAAAATCACGTATATTTGACATATGTCATTACAGACCTAATCAACTTTCATTAATGTGGCTTTGAACTCAAGTAATCTCGAAATTACTCTAATTAAAGTAGCGAAACGGATTTATCTTATAGGGCAAAAATTGATTTGGTATTTAAAATATTTTCCAAGAGTTTGGCATGGGATATTCAAGTATAGACGGGGCTTAGTTTCTGGATTTAAACCCAGTATTATCTGGTTCATATTTTGTCTTCATTTTCGAAACCTACAATAGAGTTATAGTGAGACGTATGGTTTTATATTTAATTGATTTTCTGTTGAAATGAAACTGACTTTGAGAGATTGAAATTTCCTTGTCACAAAATAAGGTATTTTAATCAATTGAAAATAAAAATGTTTTGATTTTGTCAATCCTTTGACAATACCAAGTACAGCAGTAAATATTTATAATTTAACCCAAATAGATACAATTCAAAAGTGTCTAAAATGTTAAAATAAATTACATGATATATTTTGATATTATGGCATTATATTTAAAAAAAATGGTATTCATAGTTACCAATTTTCTGGTTATTGTATTTTTTAAGTAATTTGATTCTATATAAAATCTTGTGACTGACAAAAACAATGCACTGATAAACGTGTAGGCAACAGTGAATTATGCTAAAATTCAATCTTAAATCGGTATCACGGCTGATTTTGGGTCGTTGTCGTTATACTATTCTAATTTGTTTTGCGTTGTATTCAATATCAGTGCTTTAAGATATTTCTATGGTCAGGTTACTGATTAAGATTATATATTATTAGGTTTATATTCATGTTCTAACATTTTTGGCAACCTGAATAGTAAACACTGGTATGTAGATATTTGATTCTCCTGACCAATTTCTGTTTTTTTTTCGCGGATTTTAATTTGAAACCCAAACTCATAATAAAGTTGGTATGACTTGCAGATTCAATATCGCATTGAAATATTGAGTTCAAATTCAAACACTAAAGAGAACACATCAATTATACGTAAATATATACGAATAGTTCCAAAATCACAAATAAACACTCTAAATTCTGCCTATAGGCGTTTATTTACAGTTCCGCATCTTATTAATTATTCATTACCACAGCTTCAAATATATTTAGTTTTCACTTCTGACACAGCGGGGTGTCATAAAGTAAATTAAACTTGTTTTCTAGCTAATCCCAAGAGTTTGTTGGTAATATGTTGGTGTTGATCATCTTGCTAAAAGTATTTATATTTTTCATTCAAAAATCTGACCATGACAATAGAACCTGGCGATTACGACATTTTATATTTATTTCCAGACACTACGCTGAGTGTCCACATATGCCACGAAAAAAAATCGAAACTCGGTTACGAACTCCTGTTTTGAAATATATCAGTTAATATAAATGCATCGTCGTCATGCCCGAACTGGAGGGTTTCCTGCTGCGGTGGACATATTAACACAAATGAATTGACTTTTATATTCATAATATATTTCATTAATTAGACACCTATATAAGATGAAAATTTCATATGGTTCGTTGAGTTCTGTTATAAAAATTATTTTCACCGACGTCGACTCTCAGGTCGGGGCTGGTGGCGAGTTGCTATCATTTTGATACGCATATTGCGTAAAATGTTTGTATATGATAAATATTATATTGAAAAAGGATTCGGAAAAAGTTAGTTGAAATATATATACCAAAACTGCCAGCATATATATCTATCAATGTATTGCTTTTATTCATAACATGAGGTTTTTTGTGTCTATTAATGCTTATTGAAATCTTTGCCGCAAACACAAATATACCGAACGCGGCATTTAGACATCCCATTTTCTAAATTAAATTTATGAAGGAGAAGTGAACGGCGACTTCATGACTATTACAGTCGAACATGCTTCAGAATTGTTATGTCAGCTTTTACAAACTTAATTTTCTGTTTACTTTGGCTGGTGACTAGATTTATCTGTTATTGTAATATTCATTCAAAAATGAAAGAACTGTTAAAGCGAAAAATTCAACTCAAGATCTACGTAAAATACAATCAAGGACCTATGGTTGGAGTTACACCGCCTATAAAGTGCTTATTTGCACTTTTAATGCGTTGAACTGATCCTAACTCCTTTAATTATTTATGAAATGTCAGATAATTCAAGGGTATTCAATTATTATTATCTATAAATCTTAAAATGGAGTTCGGGGACGTGCTTGAGACCGTCTGTTTTTCTTCCTTGGGATTTTCTCTTATTGCGTGTTCTCTAATTTTTCTATTTTCTCGAAGTAATCTTTTAACGAGTCCCGATCTTTTAAACAAATTTTACAAACGGGTGAATAACGGGTAACTATTATCGCGCACTAATTAAACAGCTGAGTTAAAAAAAAGAATCACAGAACGGAATTTTTAAGTTTCATCTTTACGAGATGTAGATGAAAATTCTTTGCTAGGCAAGACGACAACTTTTTTGACCCTCACACTCTTCGATTTTAGGACAGCAGATTTCTCATTAACGAACTTGCTATTTTGGTTAATAAAAAATTCATTGTAATATAAATAGTTTAAAGAGATTGGAGATTAGTTAAAGCGATATCACCTTTCCAACCTTTATTTTGAAATGTCATTCAGTCAGTCTGAGTTGTTTTATTTTTCCCTTCATCAAAAAAATTGAACATTGACACAATTCAACAGTTTCTGTGATAAATATAGAATAGACAGGAGTTCCTAAGAACGGATTGCTTCGTCATCGAGTCCATAAACTCGTCCTACTCTTGTGGTATTCCTACAACGTGTGAAAAATAGTCATCAATAGTGAATAATCCGAATTCAACATATCGAGCTCCCATAGGACATTTGGAAGCGCTAATGTGTCCTTTTAACTGTTGCACATCATCGATCAATAAACGATTAAGTCAAAGGAAATTCTAAAAATGAGTTTTTTAGTTCAGTTTTCCAACTGGTGACTATATATTCGCGGAAATAAATTGTTTTGCATACACTACATGGGTATAAATACCGAGTAATACGAAAGATGAGTTAATATATTACATAAAACAAGAAAATGGATGGAATGGTTTCTCATTTGTAGAAAACCTCCCAAGAGATATGTAAGTAGGGTTTAGAAATTTAAATCTTGAATTACGAGTATTTGATAATGATATGACGCAAGTAATGTAAAAGAGATTAATCGATTCGCAAGCATTATGAAACACTTATTATTACGGGAACCTCGACAGAAAATTGCCGTAGCAATTGATTGTTTAATGCTGTAATAGGTATTAATTTGCCCTTCTATTGGAAGGGACAAAGCGATTCAGTTTATTGTTTAGAGAATTATGTTTATATCGACTGTCAAGCGCAATTTTGTATAGTGCAGATTTTAAAATGATATTTATCAAAATAACGGTTACAGTATTTGCAGTGTAATAGAAGGCAAAATCAGAAGCATCCGTATTTTTAATATTTATAAATTTAGAACATTTTATAAAAAAAATCGATTCAGTTTAAGTTTTTGTTAATTAAGAGGTCTGTTGTTTATATCAAGTGTTCATGACAACTTGCAAAATTGTGTAATTGTGTTTTATGAATGATATTTATTACGTGACAATTAAAGTAATTTCAGTCAAATTGCTGGAGGTAAAATTAGTGCCATCAGCTGTAATATCTGTAGCGGTATAAGTATTTTCAATACCTCAAATTCAGGAATTGGGAGATGTGAAAACTCCCTTACGGAATGAATATCATTTAATGTATTTCAAACGAGGTAGGCATAATCAAACAAGTTACAACAAAGCAGACCGATGAGATAAAAATTCCAGATCTTTGGGAATTATTAGAAATAGTTCGATTAGCATGTATTTGTAATTAAATAATCTGAATAAAAAGTTCTCCGCCATACTGTTATGATAGTGCGATTCGCATATAGATTGATGGGTGTAACATAATAAAATGTGAAGTGTCGTTACTAGGGAAATTGCTGATCTTACTTAACATGAGGCTAACAATAAAAATTTCAGAAAAAGGCTTTGCTTGGGTAAAAATTTATAAGCCCCATTCATTCATTCATTTACATGGGTATGAGCAAAATTGTGTATTTAGTGTTATGTATAGAAATACTTTTGCAAGATATTTGAAACTTTTCCGTGATTGTTTATTAAGATACTCTTTTTTATAGTTTTCTATATGAATGATATAGTAACTGATATAAGAACTATCTGTTCTTAACTTTCTTGCACTTGAATAAAGGATAACTAACAAAATCTTACTTTGAACAGTGTCATAATGGATCATAGTGCTTTAATGGTGAAAATATTCACGGCTCTTGCGGTCAATCAGATATTTTGTCACGGAAATATATTCTGCCCAGATAGATGCATATGTGGGAATGTTGGAAATTTACTCACCGGGAATGATAAACAATTTAGCCAGAACGAAGCACCATCGATTAAAACGGATGATGAGAAAAAATCAGCCTTGAATATTTTACGAAAATACCACTGGGATTATTATCTACATTCCGCGGGATTTTCCATCATTTGTCCTTCGCATAATTTCACATCTATACCAAAGGTACTATATTATAAACCGAATGTAAGTTATAATTGAGGAAATCATTGGGTCGTTTCAAATTCGATTAATTTATAAACAGTGTCAGATGAAGTGTTTTATTGAATAATTCAGTATCGTAATTGCTGTAAAATATATATGTCGGAAATTTTGTTCAGCAAATGTGTTTATCAATAAAATAAAAATGAGGTTTTCTATTGGACATTAATTTTGTTTTTTTCTATATAATGTTTACTGAGCTTCGTTCCAGAAATACGTTGACCCCACTTGCGCCCGCGATTATATATGATCCGGAAAAAAGGGGATCAGGAATCGATTAATCATTACTTAGATAAAATAATACAAGCTACTATTGATGACGTGCATTACATTTCTTATTTTTCTTTGGAATTCGTCAAACAGGACGAATAGCTGCTTATACATTATCAAATGCTTCCACTTAGCTATTCTATTGACATTAATTCTAATTGAGAGTAAAATCCAAAAATGGATTAAGACAGAATTTTGATGGGCAGCCCGATCTAAGTTGCAATTCGATAATAAGTTAAATATTTTTTTTTCAAAATATTCCAAGATAAAATCTTTCGTTCAGTGGTAGAATACAGGGGTTTTGGATTGGAATTTCATGATGCCTTGCGAACCCGTTCATTTGTTTTTACTTAAAACTTTATGTGACCACACCAAATGGTTTACGTCAGCGGTCGGCAACTTCAGCCTTTATACCTGTTACTTAAGTCGTGCAAAGACAAGTCGAATGTGGAAATGTCGTATGCCGAAATCTCTTGTAAGCTAATTTCCATGCAAGTTATCTAATAAAAATAAATTGTTTCTCATCCGCTTACTATTAGAATCAGGTAGTTGGCTATGCAAACCAAACACATAAAAAGTGCTTGGCACGTGAAGGTGCTAATTGTTCATAAACTGGCACGCTTAGTTTGAAAGGTTGCCGGTTTACGTGCACCGCAGCCCACAACCAGCATTGTGTTTGAAAAGTTATGTGTTAGACTTATATAAAGCGTGTCATGCTAACGCAGCTCACGTATAGTGACATAGATATATTTTAGGATTTGTGAAAACCTCTTGTTAGTGAGTTCGATACGAAGGAAACCCGTTATTAAAATTTGAAATTCCATCTCTGGTGAGATGTATTATCATCTAGTGATATGTGGTAATTTCTATACAACTACATTTGATGTATCTTTTAACTAAAAATAGAAATATGTGCGAGTACTAAACATAACGTGACGTCTCTGCGCATCATCCCGAAAGATCGTTAAATATATAATAAAATTCCGTATGCGAAATATGATCAAATTGCTATTGTCTGTTTGTATTTAGAATGCTGAACGTATGTCCGGATCAACTCATCATATGACGTCAGTTCTTGTGTTACGTCACGGACTTTTGAAATGCATTAAGCGTCATGATCTGCCAACCAACCTTCAAGTCGCAGATTTCTCTAACAATCAAATTACGCACATAGACAACAATGTACTGAATGGATTGTTACATCTCCAGGTATATTGACTTCATGGTTTGAATAGCATGAATATAAAAAAACTCTAATGTTACTGTACGTAATTTTCTTGAGTTGTTCATTATAAAATTGAGAATCCAAATTAATATCAAAAAAATGAAATAAGATATATATACATTAGTAATATATATTTGAAATACAGGACTTTGACGGCAGCGTATCAACATTGGTACACACTTTATACTTTGTCGTATCACTCAAGACATCCTACAGTTCAGTTTCACTGAAATATTTGTTTTTTGATTTAATTTTCACATTATAATTCATCGATGGAAAAAAAACACATAAAACAAATGAAAATAAATTGTTTTTTATACTTTATTATTTTGCAAAATAATACCATCAACGTTTTAATGCACCTGTTATTTTTAAAATTAATATATCTATTTTAAGATGAGTTATAATTTTGCTTATATAGGTTCTGAATCTTCAGCACAACTCATTGAGTCGATTTTCTTTGTATGCGGGAATATTACCTTTACCTCGATTGCGTTTGAAGCACCCTGTGATCTTAGTGAAGGAAAATCCAATCCAATGTTCATGTGATCTTTATTACATAGTGACACAGCATTTGGGCAGAGAAGACTCCTCGTGCTTGAATATGAAAAACAATGTAAAAATGAAAGAATAACTTTTTCAATTGATGTGATACTACTCTTTATTTTGTACATAATTTTATAATCAGCAACAACTTTCTTATATAGTTGCCACACTATTTGAATGTTGATTTCTGTACTTTTGTGTGAACTCGATGATTCAGAATTGTTGGCAATATAGTCCAAACTCCCATGTTCTCGGAGTGCATGCACTATTACATCAGGAACACTCTGTAAAATAAAAAATAAAATGAGGTCAACAACAGAATTCAAATGAACAAAGTTTAATATAATATTTATTAAAGCAACAGTTTCTTGATGGGAAAGAGTTTGCAATTAGATAATGTAAATTTTCACACGTTGACAACTCCATAAATAATTATAAATTTCAGCACGAGCAAACAGTCGGTAATTGTACTAGTTTTAATTAACCTACGCTGGATTTATCTAATATCACGCCCATTCTTCGGTCAAAATAAAAAAAAGAATAAATAGGAAAGAAGGTCTCTCGTTTTCACCGTGACACTCAATGGCCAAGATTAATAATCTGACGATTGCACGGAAAATGTTAATCAAAATAAATAATTATTAAATTATATGAAATTACATTACAACCTTTTTTTTTGGGGATTAATTTGTTTTTATTTCCGTTTTAATGATCATCATGCTTTAAAATGCTATTTAAAATACAGAAAGCTCAGATGCTCAATTTTTGAAAATGTAAAGCGTCAAGTAATCTAGTAACGCTGTTTTAATTCTGTAATTGGCCCATTTCCCAATTGAATCGATCAATAGTATACTTCATAAATTTTCATGCTTTACATTATTCTACCTATTTATTGCCCATCATGTCGTAGGTTAAGGTTGTAATATTTAGGAAACGAACGTTTTCGTGTTCCAAAGACGAATTTAATTTTAAATGTTCGCCATACTATCTTTAGAGTCAAGACGAAGAAGAATCCAATGCAACCAGTACTCAGGATCAATATTCAAGTAAGCATTTGAATTATACGACAAAGTGATAAATATTTAATCGAAAAATGGTAAAACTCGAAAAAGGATGCTCCTGAAGTAAGCGCACCAAGATGTCGCATAACATGAACCCTAACCTGGTACACAACCTAAGTTCAGGTGGTGCGCCATCCTGGTGCGCATACTTCAGGAGGTTCGAAAAAGAATTACAAATACTTGAGAAATTATTTAATTGCGATTATAGATAGGAAAACTTCAGATTCGATTAGATTACGTTTTTACCTTAACGCATAATTTCATTGCCATCAACAGTTTCGCTATATATATATTTCTTTGTGTTTCATCTTTAGTAGAAACAAAAGCTGAACAACAATACTTTCAATCAGGTTTTGTAAGTACCAATCGCTAACCATTTCCATTCATTGTCTTTAGATGTTCAGATAACAATGGTTCCTCTACTTTTTCTACGTCACATTGCAATAGAGATGGTCTCGTTCTGCATGAATCCTAAGGTAGAAAAGATAGTCTATATAGTACAAATGAATGCAACTTCAAAAGTCACGATTCAACGTTTTATTATAATCATATTGCTGCTTATCTCTTGTGCGATTGATTGTGTTTCAGTGCAACTAACTATTTATCTTTCCTAATTAAGTATATCGCTGGTAGGCTTTCTGTTTGTAAAACACAGTTTCACTACAGCCCAATGCTATACACAATCGAAAGTACAATGTTCAATATTAGAACATAGTTGCCTCATAATGGTATCATTGTGACTTCGCCTCAACACAGTTGTCGTCATGGTTACTTAGATTGTTGTTGCGCGGAGTCGTTTTTTGTTATTTTTTTGTTATTGAAACGCGCGACTGCAGGTGGGCATGGCTTGACGTATTTATTTATTTTCAAATTCCTTATTTAGTTCGACTTCATGATATATTATTTTCTTGTTAGACTTTCTCATGCGTGCCGCTGATGTTTGATTATAAATTGTAATTTGAATATCAAGTGTGCTTTGGGTATGGTTAGAAAATAAACTACTGATTACTGATTTGAGCCAGTCGGTGCGCATGCATTTAGTGAGAATGATGTATAAAGAGTGAATGCTAGCTAGATTTATGAGTGATTAAAGAGTCTTGCCACAGACTAACACAACTACTATGTACACTAATGCAATTATATTTGATAAAAATATAATTGTTTATCGTGCGGCAAGACTCTCGCAATCACTAAGAATACTTTTTGTAAGCAAAATTTGTATATTCAAGTTTTATCTGTTCTTTTTCAGGTTTCATTTTCCCAGTTTTTTACATCACAAGAAGCCGAATTTCAAAGTTTCATGGAAGACTATGAAACAAGAGAGATACCTCCTCAAGTGAATAGACGACGAGATTTGTATCGAGATTATTTTTATTTTATCAAAAACAAAGATGACGTCGAGAAGAAGGAAGCTGATCTAAACAAGTAAACATATTTTATTTGAATTATGTTCAAAAGCCATACTACGGATAAGTGTTGAGTTATGAAGTTTGAGAAATTGAAACATACTGTCATTCCTCTAATCAAATACACATACATAAATTCAGATTCAATATATCTTCGCTCATAGCTAGATGGGTTTGTGGTCTGTAATACTACATATGTTTGATTTGATATTTTAAGCCTTAATGCACATTCCATTTTACGACAAAAATTATAAATTTTTTGTAAAATGGATTTTTTATGATAGTGTCGACCTGAATTTCACTATTTTCATCATATATCCCTTCGCTGATAGCTCTTATTTAGGGATACAAAAAAGAAAAACATCTTGTATCATTTAGCTCGCCAGTTGTAAGATTCTTTCGTCGTTACTGTTTCTACTTATAGTTTAGGAATCACAATCCCGCCTTTAACATTTCTGAATAGCAAAAATCGGATATAACCCAAACCGCACAATGCTACTCTGATTGGATGTTGCTGAAACTTTACACTAATCTATTAAATAATAAAATAAAGTTAACATTAAGTGTTGTTTAATTTTTTTTTACCAGGACTGCGAGGGCAAAGAAATATCGGTCCTGGACAATTGATTATCCATTACTGATTACTATGTTTGGTTGGTTCCTCATGGTCTTTGTCGGACTCTCAAAATTCATTAAGAGTAACTCACTGGATTATGAAATGCATAAAGATTATTTATTGAAACTAGACGAGCAAGAGAACGAAGTTGTGGGATCGATACGAACACCGAAGAGCAAATTATTACGGGAAATGACGATAGATAGTGGGAGATGATACAATACAGAGAATGCGTTTATTGAGCAAATGTCTCGAAGCCACAAGCGAAAGTTTTAATTAATCAGAACTGATTCACAACAAAAGCAAACTTTCTGCAGTGAAATAAACACAAGACAAGCATTTGTGTGTTGATCTTAGACTTAAGTCTATAAAAATCTACTGTTCAAAGAATCGTTTCATATGTATTGAATTCGAAAATTTCTATTTATCTTTGTAAAACTAGTAATTTGTTATATTCTGCAAGTTTCAAAAATGTATAAGTAAACTGGCAGCAATTTTGATTTTGCATGTTAGTGACTTCAAAATATTCAATTTTTAATTAAATATGCTTTTTGAATGCGTTCATTTTGAATAAAAATTGAAAATAATAAGCCATATTCACAAAATTTTGTCATTTGTTTTATTTTAATATATTTAAATTTACCATAAAAATATTTATTTTATTTGTTGTAAGACATGAGTCACATTGGTTTATGAGTTTTAACAGTGTAGCTATCTATCTATCGTTTTGAATATATTTTTAAATTCTCAATATTGTTGTACACAGCTTCTATATGCAATGAAAATAAATCAAACTTCTACATTTTTAATATTTTAAATAAAACTAATCATCTTATGCGAGAAGTGATGAATTTGCGCAGATAACTTTACTTGCCAGTCACGTATATATCACGTATATCATCTATTTAGGAATATTCAATTATAATTTCTTATTTTAAAAATTTCCATTATTTCAAGTTGAGCTGCGCCATTTTTGAGTGTCCACAGTGTAGTCAGCTGGCGTAAATTGGATCTCTACTATGATCTCTATTAAGCTAAGAAACTGCAATTTTCCTGTCGATGCTTTAATCTCGGAAACGTTATCCAATTATTCCTAATAATATTGACATTTCGGACTAATGTAGTTAAATCTTCTATCTATGTTCCAGACTAGGCAGGACTAACTATAAATTGTGCAATGTTTGGCAAAAGTAATTTCATTTATTCATGTTATTGACTAAATAGTGATATTACAAATGCAAGTGCCAAATACTTCTCCTCTCATAAAATATTCAAAAAGGAAATGTCACATTTCTATCTACTGTGTATTACTCATATTTTGTTTACAAGATCGTAGACAGGATTGCTAAGATGATTATCCAAAAGCAAGGAAATCATGAAATATTTAAGGCTATTTGAAGAAAAAATCGGAAAATAGTCAGAAAAAATTGAATTACGCCATAGTCTAATCTGGCATTAGCAATGATTGAATGTAACGTTTATTAAGCCTATTCTATATTTGGTTTATATTAGACATACAGTGTACATACGGCTTGTTTTGCTAAATTGTTGGGATCTTATGTACAAAGCCCCTGCAACTATTGCAAAAATGTGAGATTTGAGAAAAACACCCCCACCACGTTTTAAAATGAGAAATTAGTAATTATTCAGTTGGGGTTACGATTAGCGTTAGGAATGATATGAAAATTTGATTTCTAAGCGCAATCTACATTTCTGACCAAATCTGAATAATCCTAACCATAAATGAATAATTACTAACTTTCTTATTTCGACCGTTGACGTGGGTGTATTTCGGCGGGGGCTTTGTACAAATATCCACTTGTTGTTGTCGATGTTCTGAGTGGATGATTTTGTTCGAGAAATATCGCTTTTTTAGACATAATGGCCCAATCCATTTAACTTTTAAAAAGAAATATATTATTTTATTAAAGATAGAATAAGTTGCTAGAGGACTACTTTATTTTTTTAATTTCGTTAACAAAAATCCTGATGCTCCACTCGGAGGTATACAAAGTTAATTCAAACTTACTTCAACCTATTATACCGTTTAATTGCATGCATCCGCATAGATGCACAAGTGAAATGAGGGCATCAACTTTTAACCTAACTGATCGCGATGAAATAAACTGTTATCATTCAAATAGAGTCAAACTGCACTAGTGACGTATAATATATCAAACCGGTTCACGTGATCAGTTGCCTATTTTTCGAAAATAATTATAGATATCTTCTATATCTCACTTTTTTAAAAAGATAGAATTTTTTACTAAAGGTAGGAGAATTTTTTAAGAGACTACTCTTATTTTAGTTTTTTTAATTTTGTTAACAAAAATCCTGATGTTTCATTCGAAAGAATACAAAGTTAATTCAAACTTACCTCAACTTATTATACCATTTTAATTGTATGCATTCGCATACATGCACAAGTGAAATGAGGGCATCAAATTTTAACCTAACTGCTCGCAACAAAAAACTGAAATAAACTGTTATCATACAACTAGAGTCAAACTGCACTAGTGACGTATAATATATCAAACCGGTTCACGTGATCAGTTGTCTATTTTTCGAAAATAATTATAGATATCTTCTATATCTCACTTTTTTAAAAAGATAGAATTTTTTACTAAAGGTAGGAGAATTTTTTAAAAGACTACTCTTATTTTAGTTTTTTTAATTTTGTTAACAAAAATCCTGATGTTTCATTCGAAAGAATACAAAGTTAATTCAAACTTACCTCAACTTATTATACCATTTTAATTGTATGCATTCGCATACATGCACAAGTGAAATGAGGGCATCAAATTTCAACCTAACTGCTCGCAACAAAAAACTGAAATAAACTGTTATCATACAACTAGAGTCAAACTGCACTAGTGACGTATAATATATCAAACCGGTTCACGTGATCAGTTGCCTATTTTTCAAAAATATATATTAGTTATCTTCTATATCTCACTTTTTTAAAAAGATAGAATTTTTTACTAAAGATAGGAGAAGTTTTTAAAGACTACTCTTATTTCAGTTTTTTCAATTTCGTTAACAAAAATCCTGATGTTTCATTCGAAAGAATACAAAGGTAATTCAAACTTACCTCAACTTATTATACAATTTAATTGTATGCATCCCTATACATGCACAAGTGAAATGAGGGCATCAACTTTTAATCTAATTGCTCGCAACAAAAAACTGAAATAAACTGTTATCATTCAACTAGAGTCAAACTGCACTATTGACGTATAATATATCAAACCGGTTCACGTGATCAGTTGCCTATTTTTCGAAAATAATTATAGATATCTTCTATATCTCACTTTTTTAAAAAGATAGAATTTTTTACTAAAGGTAGGAGAATTTTTTAAAAGACTACTCTTATTTTAGTTTTTTTAATTTTGTTAACAAAAATCCTGATGTTTCATTCAAAAGAATACAAAGTTAATTCAAACTTACCTCAACTTATTATACCATTTTAATTGTATGCATTCGCATACATGCACAAGTGAAATGAGGGCATCAAATTTTAACCTAACTGCTCGCAACAAAAAACTGAAATAAACTGTTATCATACAACTAGAGTCAAACTGCACTAGTGACGTATAATATATCAAACCGGTTCACGTGATCAGTTGCCTATTTTTCAAAAATAAATATTAGTTATCTTCTATATCTCACTTTTTTAAAAAGATAGAATTTTTTACTAAAGATAGAAGTTTTTAAAAGACTACTTTTATTTCGGTATTTTAATTCCGTTAACAAAAATCCTGATGTTTCACTCGAAGGTATACAAAGTTAATTCAAACTTACCTCAACTTATTATACAATTTAATTGTATGCATTCGCATACATGCACAAGTGAAATGAGGGCATCAAATTTTACCCTAACTGCTCGCAACAAAAAACTGAAATAAACTGTTGTCGTTCAACTAAAGTCAAACTGCACTATTGACGTATAATATATCAAAGCGGTTCACGTGATCATTTGCTTATTTTCAAAAATAATCGAAAGTTATCGTTTATATCACAATCATAAATTAGTTATGAATGTTGTTAAGATCCAGCGCAGCCATTTAGAATAAAAGATCGGGTAAATTCCCGAAACCGATGACGAGTGACAATGGAATGAAAAGAAAGTCTGACCGTCAAAATATATAAATAAAAATAAAAAATATAAAAATAAAAATCTGAAAATGGCCTAAATCTGAAAAACCTAAAACTATAGGCGTTACAGATTTAAATTGATTATGACTACCTACATCCACGTAAAGATGCGGTTGTGAGTAATTCGACGTCACAAAGTAGAAAATATAAAGAGAAAACATTCGGACAAACTTTTTCGATTGTAACATAGTAATATAACATAATAAAATAACACATAATAAAAGAACATATAATATATTTATAAATTTATAAAAAGATACATAATTTGCTCTTATCGGTCGGCTCGACTCAGTTGACAAAAAGTACGGTATATCATTGGAAACATATCTCGAAGCCGTGCATTTCGCGTGACACTTTCTACCAATTGAGTGGAAAAGCAAATCTTTTGTCAACGTAGACCAAGAGTATAAAAGAAATCTCGAGGCTTTTCATAGTTATCTTCACCGCTCTCAAAATGAAGATTCTCTTTCAATCATTTATCGTGAAAATAATTCTAGCTTTCAGCACAGCAATACTTTTCAAAGGTCAGTTAAATTTTTAGGATTATGATGATTTTCTGCTTATATCTGACAAAATTTTAAAATATCTAAATTGGTACGCCCGAAGTATGTGAATCAAGATGGCGGACACCTGAACGTAGTATGTGTACCAGGTTAGTGATAGGCCATAATTTCAGGCATAAATACTACGGGAGTGACTTGGCTAGTCCTCGAACTCGTTATAGAACTAAGAAAGAGAAAATTGGAATAAAATTATAGTCGAACCCTAACCTGGTACAAATATTACGTCCAGGGTCCGTCATCTTGGTTTACACACTTAGGGAGCACCCTTAAATTCGCTTATGATTGACTGGGAATTAACAACATAAGTGTTTGAATCATAGCTGAAAGAGCATAAATTTAATTACTACATTTTAAAATTAATGATATTATTATATAAAGTTAGGCAAACGTTCATTTATTTAATTATTTTGTATTATTCATTAAATTTTAGATTTGCTTTTATGAATGCCAAATTATATTTACAAAATATAATAGGCTCGTAATCTAGCTTTTAGTGTGCAATAAACAAATTGTTATTCACAAATATCAAGAACTATCAGCTTCAAAATCATTTTGTCACTTTTTGGATTATGTTTGGTATTCGTTAATTAATAACTTTCGCATGTCACGTTTGCAATGCAGTGTAATAGAGTTCATTTTCCTATCACATTTCTGCGTTCAGAATAGTGTAACATAGGTTGGTATAAGGTCGTTGGGTCATGGCATCTATTTACTCGAGTGACTGATGCGCTAAAAAAATACCGCTTCATAAAAAATGTCACTTTATTTATCATCGAATTAATATTTTTGATCAGTAGTGTATCAGCTGTGGCCGATCTTGTGTGCAAGACATATACCCGAAATTTCGAGCAAAAGTTTAGGATCACTTCCCTTATAAGAAAACCTTGGCTACCATTCCTGAAACCCGGCAATTTATATCTTGAGTTTATATCTTGCGTAACCGCCCATACACTTCACTTTCACATTTCATACAGTACTCTTGAAATGCTATTTCATCATTACTATTTTCAATTAGACTGAAACGAGTTCAAATGAGGTCACGAAAGGTCCAAATGTCATGAAAATAGGGTCTCAGATGAACATGAGAGACCAACAACAGCCCCTTCTCTATGAATACAAAATTGGAAACCTGTTCTGGATTTGAGTAGATATTACCCAAAAATTGTAATCGAAGCAAAAATGCAAACAAATAAATAAAAAGAGACGGATAAATAATTGAATTTTTCCGGTTATGAAACTTTGAAAAGAACGGTTCTATCGCGTAATGTAAAAAATGCATTGAAACTCTTTTCTGCATCAGCAAGGCAAAAAAGCGAGCAACTTAAGTTTGTGTAACTTAAAATCAAAAACATTGCGTTTATCACGAAATCAACCAGTACCGAATGCGTTCTGGCATTCGTACTTACCACTCGAGATGCTACTATGACAATCGCAGAATGAACAGCAGAGCTTTCATGAGTTGCGACAATGGCATCGTTTCAACCAACACACCTTGAATGTTCATGAGATAGATAGGTATTCGAGAATCGGATTGCTGCATCTAACTGGAACCAAAAAATCTCCATAAAGTTCAAAGCC